AAGGTTCTTTCTGCGGACCATACCATCTCCTTGGAACCATTCACGACGGAATTGCTTGGCAGCTCCTTCAGGAGTGTTACACCATTCGAGCGTCGGTCGAGCACACCACAGGCAGGATCCACACCGAAGTCTCTTCATGTTGGTGGTCTTGATGGCCCATCCAATACGACGGCCGGAAGCGTTGATGATCTTGATGTGGTAGGTGTGCTTGTCGTCGTACGGCGCGTTGAAGACGATCTTCGAGTTGGGCTGAGTGTTGATGTCGCCAGGAGGAACTGAGGCCATTTCTTGCTCTGTCAAAACGTTAAACGTCGTCGTCGCCTGCTAACCTTGAAAACCAGCCTACCAACCATAAGAAGGATATCTGTATAAGTAACCTACCTAACGTACCTCTAAACTATAATAGAAAAACTTCTATTATAGTTTGCAGGTACGTTTTAGTTTCGGCTTTCGAAAAAAAAAACTACCCCGGGGCAAGCGTGCGTTGAGAAATCCTCGACAGGTCACAGGGGGGGGTCGTATTGGCCCGCTGGGAGGAAGAGATCGGGCCGGATTGATGCAGTAGGATCATCACTGTCGGAGGACAAACATCAAGGATCGAATCGATGCCATGGAAGGCCAGAGGATTTCCAATAACAATGATATTCCGCCACATAAATTTTCGTGATTCTGAGGCGTCCGGTAATTCTTAGTTACTTCAGTGATTTATTACGACACAAGGTAAAGAATCTGGATTTGCGCGTTTTCCCAAGGATATTTTATTTTTCAAGTGAAGGGCTTACGAGTCTGGAGATGTGAAGCACACGGAGCGTCCCAGAAGTCGGTTCACTAAGTTGCGCGTGCTTCATCCGATCTCAATTAAGGAAGATAAGGAGTTTCTGAAAGAGTTCATGTTAAATTACAGGAGGAGTACACTATTCAACAAGAAATGCAGCCTTCAGCGTCAAATTCACAAGCATGTAATCGTAAAGTTGAGACCGCAAAAAGTTTACACTTTTAAAGGATAAAAAGGATAAAGCATTTGCCGTTGATCAATCCCTTTTTGGGATGCGGCACGCATTCTACTTCCATTTGTACATTCGTAGTGGCGTTTGAATGCGATGTGGCCTATACAATGACTTGCGGGGGCCAGCCGATGTACAAGTCAGTGTTTTTTCTGGTACCAATTAACCGACCCCGGAGGGATGGAAGGCTTGGTTGGCCCGGGCGACTCACGACCCAGGATTTGATCCCCGGACCGCTCGCGTGGTAAGCGTGCCACTTGCCACTACACCACTTCCGCCCACACTTATTAGAAAGAGAAAAGCGCGCAGATTCCGAATCTGCTCCCACTTTGCATGTGACCGCCTCTGAAAGGAGCTATAGTCGTTGAAAGGAAGCCAATGCAGCTAAAAACTACCCTTTCGGCGGTATTCGGGCAAAAATCCTGGCGTTTTGACTTCTTGAAGAGTTTCATCAACCTTCTACTGTACTGCCTAGTGTAGCTATCAATGGTGTTTGACGCCGAAGTGGCGATTCCAATTTCTCGCAGACTAGCCCGCATTCTTGTTGTGATTGCCATAACTATGTTCTGTTAACTTTATGCATATCGTAGCTCTCTTAGACACACCTTGTTGGTGTTCTATCACCATATCCTGACCGCCGCCACACAGCTCACAAGGAATGGTCATTTGGTCGGTCCGGCCAATTGTAATGAGGTGTAGTCCGATGCACGCGTCTTGCGACGCTGAGCTCAAATCCGTTTTCGGTTTTTGCCGAACGATTCTCTGAACGAAGTTACGAGGGATTCTTCTCACTGTGGCTATCTCACTCACTGTGGCGCCCTCTACATTCCCCCTGTCCCACTTGGCTCGCATAAGAAAAGCCGCAGAGCTTCTAATGAAGTGGGTGTTGATGGCCCATGATGGATATAGGCCCTACGTCAGGGTGAGGTCAATCTCGAGTAACCCGTCGATGACAAGCTTTGCATTTTTCAAGCATGCTTATATCGAGCTCATGCAAACGTATATTCAGTGTGTTTCAAGTATTAAAGCCAACCATGCCTAATGGCTAGCTGTTCCAGGAAGTAAAGGACGAATTCGCCCGATCCAGAGGGAAATCGATTAGGGATTAATTCCACCTGGTTGACCAGGAGGAGTTGACCTCGTTGACCTATTAAGGTTTAATCCCGCCGCGGCTGGTCAGTGCACGCCCACCGATCATCTGATCACTCGCCGCAGGTCTATACGTGGTGAGTGATTAGATAGGTGAGAGAGCGTAGCGTTGAAGAGGGCACAGCGATGATAGTCGCATCAATGCTCAAATCAACGGGCAAGGAAGGGGTCCCATTTCTCGGGTTCTGGGCCGTTTCTCATGGTTTTTCCTTCTTTCGTGTACCACTCACCATCGCTAACTTAATTTGAAATGGGTTGCCTTTTCATCGTGAATTCGTCCTTTAAATAAAGGTTCGTGGCTTGATACATACTTCATCGCATTCGGCATGCTCTAAAACTATAGTGAACTTTGTTGTACAAACACTATTAAGCTAGAAACGGTTTCCATAAGAAAATTTGAAAAACTCCGCTGTTTCAAAAGTATAAAGCCACCCCGGGCGAGTAGGCAACAGCGGTAAAAATTTTTGTTCCTGTTAACTCATTTGAAGTTCTTTGGCCATAATTAGCACAAACACATTACGTCTTCAATATATCTCGTGGATCTACGTTTTCTTTGAAGAGCAAGTTCGTGCGAGGACGTTACATCGAGCTGCCCATTCAAATCGCTCCATAGCTGCTCAACTTGGCCGTTCTCAAGCTGTATCGACATAACTTTTGAAAAATCCAGCTTCTTATGGAAGGAAGAGGATCTGTGGAAGGTACTGTCGGAACATGATATCCGACATATTCAACGATCCCTTTCCAATTCTACTGCGACCATCAGTCAGATCCGATACGAGCTCTCCCTTTTTGCTTCGAAAAGTTCCATCTGGAGGGTCGCTAACTCTGCTCCAAATATCGTGCGACAATCCATGATGAAGACTCCACGTCCGGAACAGCATCACAAAGCACCTCGTCTCGAACTCGCCCGGAGGAACATGCGAACGAATTGGGATTCGGTAGGTGATTCTACAGGGTAGGTAGCCACTTTCATCACGACATGTAGTTAATGGTTTGTTGTGTTCAGGTCATTTTCTCTACGAGAAGAAGTTCACCCTGGATGGTTATCACAGCTAGTGGAGGGATGTAGAGAATCCGTTGGTATTTAGCAGGAGAAACTTCGGCGGTGGCTCACAGATGGTCTGGGCTGCATTCTACAGCGGTGCTGTGCTCCCTCTGGCTTTCGTGTCGTGTCGGACTCCGAATCGTATCGTGAATCTGGTTGTGTTGCAAGTGGCTTTTATGTACTCAAAATTCAATAAAGTACAAGGGAAGATATGAAATGCTTTCCTTAACTCAGAAAAGTCCTTTTCATAGGTGGCTTTATACTTTTGAAAAGCACTGTATAACTGGTTGTTATGTTATGCGTTCTGTTCGCTCGTTCTGTTTTTACGCGAGCCAAGTGGGATAGGGGAACGTAGAGGGCGCCTCAGCCACAGTGAGAAGAATTCTTCATAACTTCTTTCGGAAATCGTTCGGCAAAAACCGAAAACGGATTTGAGCTCAGCGTCGCAAGACGTTTCGTGGCTACGTCAGAAAGCATTTCGCAATGGGCAGAGCGATGTACTTTATTGCTTCTCTGGCTCGGAATTTTATTTCCATAGAGACCTTGATGCTCAACCTGCCGCTCCAATTATTGAAGATTTTTCTCAAAATGAAGTGACGTTCTTGGATTAGAAGAAGCCACTAGCTTAGTATAACCTGGCAAAAATCAGAAAAAAAAGAGGAGGACTGAGTTAGACT